AAGTGGGATATAGGCCGGGTGTGGTGGCTCACACCTGTAATCCCAGCACCTTGGGAGGCCGAGGTGGGTGGATCACTTGAGGTCAGGAGTTCGAGACCAACCTTGCCAACAAGGTGAAATCACATCTCAACTAAAAATACAAAAATTAACCGGGCGTAGTGGTGTATGCCTGTAATCCCAGCTACTTGGGAGGCTGAGGCAAGAGAATCTCTTGAACACGGGAGGCAGAGTTTCCAGTGAGCCGAGATCGCGCCACTGCACTCCAGCATGGGTGACAGAGAACCGATCTCAAAAAATACATAAATAAATAAAATTTAAAAACCAAACAGAAAAAACTGAAACCCTGATTTGTGTAAAGCACTTGTGGATCGTGATCTCCATTTGAGAAATTAGGAAACTGAGGCACAGAGCGGATAAGGGACAGGCCCAAGGGTCTTGCACACTGGTTTGTGGAGAGCTGGATTTGGGTCAGGTCTGACTGGCACCAGATTCTGGACTCCTACGATACCATTTCTGAGCATCTCCATGACAGAGCTGGCACTGCACAGGGCCCCTTTGGGGCTGGGTTTGTTGTCACCAACGTCACATCCCTGGCTTCCCTGGCCAGGCTTCATGAGAGGTACAGCTGGGAAGTGGCAGAGCAGGAGGAGCCTGCACCTGGCTTGTAGCATTTGCGGCGACCAATTACATACATTGCTTTCCATCCTCGGCAATGCCAGTTTGGCAGCACAAAATTGACCCTGGCATGAGTATTTACACCATGGAAATTGACAATGCTACACACCAGAGGGTTTAAAACAATTATTCTCTTTTTTCTTTCTTTTGACATGGAGTCTAGCTCTGTCACCCAGGCTGGAGCGCAGTGGCACAATCCCAGCTCATTGCAACCCCTGCCCCCCAGGTTCAAGTATTCTCCTGCCTCAGCCCCCTGAGTAGTTGGGATTACAGGCGTGTGCCACCACAGCCGGCTAATTTTTTATATTTTTGGTAGAGACGGGGTTTCACCATGTTGGCCAGGCTGGTCTCAAACTCCTGGCTTCAAGTGATCCACCCCCCTCGGCCTCCCAAAGTACTGGGACTACAGGCATGAACCACCACGCCCCACCAAAAAAAAACAGCCTTTAATATTTTTAAAGGTCAGCTTTCCTCCCTGGGCAAAAGATTTGGAGGCAGTGGGTTTCCTTGCAAGCAGCCAGGTCTGGCCAAGGGCGGGAGGCTTGGGTATTAGATAGTCCTGGCTTCAGTGCTTTGCTCTGCTGGTTAGAAGCTGAGTGCCCTTGGGAAAATCACCAAACCTCTCTGGGCTTTGCCTTCCCGCTTTGCAATATCAGCAAATTATCCTTACCCCACGGGGGAAGTGTGTATGAATCGGTGAAGACAGCATCTGTAAAACCACCAAGGGAGACTGGCACACGGAAGAGACCCAGACAGCTGAGCCTCTGCCTGCCCCAGCTTCCAGCTCCTTCTTGTCACACTCGCCGAATACCAAGCCTGTGACATCAGCATGCTCATTGGAAGCGGGTGCTGGAATTGTCACTGGCTCTTTCTGAATCCCGCAGATGCTGTCCCCAGAGCCTTCATTTCGGCATCTGGTTACACTGTACATGGTGGCAAATTTGACAGGTGCCCATCTCCCAACCCTTTGACCTCTACCTGCCCCCTCTCAGCATCCGCAGTGCATGAAGCCAGCGTCGGCACCCTTAGCACCCCAAGCTGCCCCCATCTCCCACTTCCTGAGCCCAGTAGCAGGGGCTCAGGCATCGGTGGAGGAAAATGCTCTGCAGCTTTTGCAAACTGATATGGAAAAGAGAGTTTGGGATATGGTGGCTCACGTCTGTAATTCCAGCACTTTGTGTGGCCGAGGCAGGCAGATCACTTGAGGTTGGGAGTTTGAGACCAGCCCAGCCAATACGGTGAAATCCTGTCTCTACTAAAATACACAAATTAGTCGGGCGTGGTGGCATGCACCTGGAGTCCCAGCTACTCGAGAGGCTGCGGCAGGAGAATCGCTTGAACCCAGGAGGTAGAGGTTGCAGTGAGCCGAGATTGTGCCACTGCCCTCTAGCCTGGGTGACAGAGCAAGACTCCGACTCAAAACAAAAACAAACGAGAGTTTGGGAAGCTGAAAATTGGGGACTGTAAAAGTGTTCTGCGAGCCTTCAGTGCTGTCATCCCCCTGTGCGAGCCTCCGCCCACGACCAAGGTGGCTTTAGATCTCCCGTTCTGGGCCCATCTATGTCGCCCTCCACACCCTCAAACACCATCCTAGGATTCTCCCCTGCGGAGCCTGATGCTGATGGAAAGGAGAAGGCTCAGCGCCGCTCACACCACACCTTGAGCTTCCAATCCAGTGGGAAAGACCGCTCTGATCTGTGACACTGACTCAAATCCTTCCCTGGCCGGGAGGCTGTCGGTCCTGGGAGCAGCCCCAGCCAAACTCTGTCTGGGCCTTACAGGCAAGTCCTCCCAGCTGGGCACGCAGTTGGGGTGTGGGAGGTGTGTTGGGGGCCACTGATTCAGCTGCCCTCCCAAATGTGAGTCCGCTGAGCAGGACCCGGCCTCACTCCCACCTGCTTTCACTCATCCTGCCCGGGCAGTGCCCACTGAGCTCAGGTGAAGATGCCAACGAGCCCAGAATGTCACACAGGCCAGCCTGCTGCCAACTGCTCTCCTGACTCCCTGAGGCATGACCACAGCTCTGCTGGGTCACCGGGAACATCGCTGCCACGGGGATGGAAAGGAAGAGAGTGTTGCTGTCTGAATCTCCGGTGCATGCTTTCCCCCCGCTTTTTGTTTGTTTGTTTGTTTGTTTTGTTTTTTGAGATGGAGTTTCGTTCTTGTCACCCAGGCTGAAGTGCAGTGGTGCAATCTTGGCTCACTGCAACCTCCACCTTCCGGGTTCAAGTGATTCTCCTGCCTCAGCCTCCCAAGTAGCTGGGATTATAGGTACACACCACCATGCCTGGCTACTTCTTGTATTTTTAGTAGGGACGGGGTTTCACCACGTTGGCCAGGTTGGTCTCAAACTCCTGACCTCGGATGATCCACCCACCCCAGCCTCCCAAAGTGCTGGAATTACAGGCACGAGCCACCGCGCCCGTTGTCCCCTCTCTACATCACACACCCAGTGCACGGCCTAGAATGCTCCCAGGACAGGGCCTTGCCCACTGGAGAGAATGGCCTAGGAAGCTTCTTTTCCTTTCCTGTACTACTTAGCATGCATTCAGAGGACATCCAAGGTCTGGGCTTGGGTGAAGTGGAATCCTGGGAAAATCACTTCCAGAATGATGCTGGGGAAGAGAAAGTGTTTATGGGAAGCATGTCCTGAATTGAAGTGAGGGGTGGAAATGTGGCCAAAGCCCTTCAGAATGCCCTCCATGTTCTCACCAGACTATCTACAGTTGGAAATTCCACCATTAGTGATTCATTCCTTTGGCTGACACCCCTGAAATCGTGTGATCTTCAGGATCAACAGAAGTAATGAAGAGAGCAGATGGTGTTGTGCATTTGTTATCCTACTGCATCTTCAAGCAGCCCATAAAGTGCTGCCTTACTATACCCATTTAGCAGCTGAGAACACTGAGGCTCAGAGAGGTTAGGAAATTGACGAAAGCTCCCACAATGCTGGGGTCATGCTGGATTTGATCCCAAGTCCAGCAAGACACAGTCCCTCCCTCCAGGAGCTCCCAGGTCTGGGACTGGCGCAAGTAGCTGCATGATGAAGGACGGGGCTCCAAGCCGTGATGCGGGGGGGCAGGGAGCATGACAGGGAGTAGAAGGAAAGCCCCTAAGTCAGAGGAAGGCCAGAAGTTCCCCAATGCTGATGCCTGAGCTGAACTTTCAAGGATGAGTAGGAGTAAGTTGGGTGGACAAGGAGATCAACAGTTCCCACCAGCAGGACCAGCACCTCCAAAGATCCAGGGGCATGAAGGGGCAAGCTGTCCTGGGGAAATGCAAGCCCAGATGCCCAGGAGGAGGGGGCACAGGAGGTGCAGGTGTCAGACTGAGGAGTCAGCAGCTGCTATGGGGCCACTAAAGAAGTCCCAAGTCATCCAAATAAGAAAATAAGCCAAAGTATCTTAGAAGAAAAGAAGGAGAAGGAGAAGGAGGAGAAGAGGAGGGGGAGGAGGAGGAAGAACAAGAAGAAAAACAACAACAACAAGAACAAGAAGAAGAAGAGAGAAAAAGAGGAGGAGGAGAAGGAGGAAGAGGAAGGGGAGGAGGAGGAAGAGGAAGGGGAGGAGGAGAAGGAGGAAGAGGAAGGGGAGGAGGAGAAGGAGGAAGAGGAAGTGGAGGAGGAGAAGGAAGGGGAGGAGGAGGAGGAAGAGGAGGAGGAAGGGGAGGAGGAGGAAGGGGAGGAGGAGGAGGAAGGGGAGGAGGAGGAGGAAGGGGAGGAATGGGAGGAAGGGGAGGAAAGGAGGGAGGGAAGGAGGAAGAGGAGGAGGAAAGAAGGAAGCAAAGAAGAAGGAGAAGTAGTCCCAAGTCTCTGGTCCCAGAAGGTGCTTTGGTGTCCATCAGCGTCTTGATCACAGGATTTTATCTTGGCCTGGCATGGTGCCATGCCTTGGGAGGTCTCCCCAGAACCCCCAGAACCCTCTCTCCCAGTTCCAGGCCCAGGCAGAGGTCAAGTTTTCAGCGTCTCTGTCCTCATTTGGGAGCAAGTCTCTCTCCAACCAGCCCTCCCCTGCAAAAGTTTCCCCACTGACCTCCAGCCCTGACCCCAGCTGGTGGGAAATATTTGGTGAGCTCCACAGGGCAGGCTTACCGAAGACAGCTTCCAGGCATTAGGAGTGCCTGTGTAGACATATAATGCTTGTGTAGACACACGTGTGCACACACATGCACATATACACGCACATACACGGGCAGGAGGACAAAAGCTATCCAGCATCTCCCAGCATGGAGGCAGTCTGGTCTGTGAAATGTGTCGAGATAATTTAATACTGGCTTGGACATATGGGGTTCCAGGTGCAGGAGCCCTGGAACCCACTGGAATGTGCTAGAGATAAGCATAAGGCATTCTGTCTGTGCCCACTCCACTCTGGTTGGGAGTCGCAGAATGAGGACCTCCTGATTTGAGACAGATTCTTTATCCAGAGAATCTGAGATTCCAATTCAGATCCTGGAGGTGGGCCTGCTACTCACCTCCCCAGTAAATGTCCAGGCAGCATTGGACAAAGATGCTGGCCCCGCCCTGACAGGGACTGAAGAACAGGTCCCCAGAAGCCTTGTTGTTGGGGTACTGGGCACTTCAGAGGTTGAGGGGACCTGGAACAGTCTCCCTAGATCCATGTGCCTTCCTTTTGGGGTACACCTGAGTAGCCTCTAACAGCCACTGATTGGCACCAAGACAGAATCCAAAGGTTGGGATCACAAACCTTAAGTATGGAACAGCGAGCAAGTGCCCAGGGACTGTTTGCCCCATCTTATGAATGAATGGCTCTTGTAATGTCTCTGGATTTTTGGGGATGGGAAGAAATGGCCAAGTAACAGCATCCTCATCCCCAACTGTACTGAGAACCAACTACGGTGGAACAGAACATCAGGGGCTGCGTGGGTGTGTGCCTCAGTTTCCCTCCACTGCCCCCAAACTGCCTACTCCAGGAGCTTCCCAAAAGGGAAGGGGAGATGAGGAGATAGGCATGCAAATGCCCATTTGGAGATTTTCAGCTACTCTGGCCATGATCCCATTTCAGAGCACACCAGACAGGAAGGGCAAAGAGGTCGCATCATGAGTGCCAAATTGATTGGTACTGGCTGCCCAGAACACAGTGCTGGGAAGAATTCTGACATCACCCACGTGCTGCACTTGATTGGTGATGTCTGCCATGGTCACAGCCATTCACCATCCCTCATCTACAAGCTGGGCTGTCCCCTTTCCCTGAACGGGAGACAATTCGCCAGCCTGGACTTTGGTAGCAGAGAGGGAGGCCCTGGCCACCCAGGTATGAACAAGCCACAGGACTCCTTGCCAGATTCCTCAGGACCTTTGAAACACAGATTGGCCCGTCATTCCCCAATTTTCCAGGACCACGCCTGCTTCCTTTTCTGAAGATGTTAATGTTGCTTGTATTAGGAAACACTCATCTAAAATAGAAACACATTACAGGGTTAATTTCTCCTCTGTGAGAATGGCTAAATGCTTTCTTTCTCGCTGGGGACTCGAGGGACGATCTGGTCGTCACCAGAAGTCACCTCAGAGCCATCAAGAACTCTACCCAATGAAGGGAAGACAGGCCTTCGCGCTGTGCTCTGGGTTAACGTTCGCAAAAACGCTTCCTGTGGTGCTGCACTCCTAAAGCCCAAGTGACCTCTGGAGTCTGGGTCACCTCATTTGGACACCTTGGTGTGCAGAGTGCTGGGCAGATAGAGGTACCTCCAGATGGCATAGTAGTGGGTACCAGCACCAAATGCTACAAAGAGATGCCAGATGGCGTGGGCAAAGGGGATCCTCCCGTCACTCTTGAAGAAGACCATGCCCAGGCAGTAGAAGACCCCTCCGGTCACCAGCTCCCAGATGCCCTCGGTGTTGGGCTGTCGGCAAGGACAAGGGTGGGGCACAGGTCAGAGGGGCAGCCAGTGTGGCTGGAAGTACCAGCCAGTCCCCACCACCCAAAACTAAAAGACACACAGGTGGCAAGCCAGCCCAGACTCCCAGGTGGGAAGCCTCAACACTGATATGCCAGCGATTCTCCCCAGACTAGTTCTTAGATGTCCCATTTCTATTAAAATCTCACCAATTTTTTTTTTTTTTTTTGAGACGGGGTCTCAGTCTGTTGCCCCAGCTGGAGTGCAGTGGCACAAGCGTAGCTCACAGTAGCCTCCAACTCCAGAAACAATCCTCCTGCCTCAGCCTCCTCAGTAGCTGGGACTATAGATATGCCATGGTGCCAACATGCCTGGCTAATTTTATTTTATTTTTGGAGATGGGGGCATCTCACTATGTTGCCCAGGCTGGTCTCAAACTCCTGGCCTCCAGTGATTCTCCCACCTCGGCTTCCCAAAGTGCTGGCATTACAGGGGCGAGCCACCACACTCAGCCTCAAATAATATTTGTATAACTTACCTGTTTTTGTTTTTGTTTTTGTTTTTAAGATGCAGTTGCTCTTTTGCCCAGGCTAGAGTGCAGTAGCAAGATCTCGGCTCACTGCGACCTCTACCTCCCGGGTTCAACCCGTTCTCCTGCCTCAGCCTCCTGAGTAGCTGGAACTACAGGCGTGCACCACCATGCCCAGCTAATTTTTATATTTTTAGTAGAGATAGGGTTTCACCATGTTGGCCAGGCTGGTCTCAAACTCTTGACCTCAGGTGATCTGCCCACCTTGGCCTCCCAAAGTGGTGGGATTATAGGTGTGAGCCACTACGCCTGGCCTATAGCTTATCTTTTGTAAAAATGCAATACATCTGGGTATATACACAAATAATTGAAAGCAGGGTCTTGACACATATTTGCACACCCATGTTCATAGCAGCATAATCACAACAACAAAAGGAGGAAGCAACCCAGGGGTCCACCAAGGAATGAATAGATAAACAAAACGAGCTCGAGGCCGGGCGCCTCACGGTGGCTCACGCCTATAATCCCAGCACTTTGGGAGGCTAAGGAGGGCAGATCATGAGGTCAGGAGTTCGAGACCAGCCTGGGCAACATGGTGAAACCCCGTCTCTACTAAAAATACAACAATTAGACAGGAGTGGTGGCGCATGTCTGTAATCCCAGCTACTCAGGAGGCTCAGGCATGAGAATCATTTGAATCTGGGAGTTGGAAGTTGCGGTGAGCCAAGATCATGCCACTGCATTCCATGCTGGGTGACAGAGTAAGACTCTGTCTCAAAAAAATAAAATAAAATAATGAGGACAGGACAGAGTTATAGTTTGCAGAGATGCAAAACGTTCTGGAGATGGTTGGTGGTGATGGTCGCATGACAATGTGACTGGGCTTACTGCCACTGAACTGAATATTTTACCACAAGTTTTTAAAGTAATGGCATGGCAAAAAAAAAAAAAAAAAAAAAGAGAGGTAGAGAAAATAATTTTTGTTTTGCTTCATGGCAAAAAATATTTAGAGAAAAAAAATATGGTAGGAAAAAAGTAGTAGTCCTGGCCCCCGGATGTGAGTACTATTAACATGAGTTGTTCTTAATAAAAGAAACTCTCTGCAGGGCACGGTAGCTACGCCTGTAATCCCAGCACTTTGGAAGGCCAAGGTGGGCTTAAGCCCAGGAGATCGAGACCAGCCTGGGCAATATAGTGAGACTCCCATCTCTAAAAAAAAAAAAAAAAAGAAGCAGCAGCAGAAAAAGAAACACTCATAGGATAGGAGGGAATTGAGCAAGAAGAACCTGCCAAGCCCTCACCAGGCCACGAATTCAAGACTATTTTAGGCAACATAAGGAGATCCTGCCTCTACAAAAAAAAAAAAAAAAAAAAAAAATTGTTCTTTTGAAACAGAGTTTCACTCTTGTAGCCCAGGCTGGAATGCAGTGGTGCGATCTCAGCTCACTGCAACCTCTGCAACCTGAGTTCAAGAGATTCTCCTGCCTCAGCCTCCAGAGTAGCTGAGACTATAGGTGTGCACCACCCCTGGCAAATTTTTTTTTTTTTTTTTTTAGAGATGGGTCTTGCTGTGTTGCCCAGGCTGGTCTCAAACCCCTGGACTCAAACTATCCTCCCGCCTCAGCTTCCCAAAGGACTGGATTATAGGCATGAGCCACTGCGCCTGGCCTACTGCCTCTTTAGACAAGTCATGCCAGGCCTCAGTTTCCCCACCTGCCATAGGAGAGTGTGACAATCTCAACAGCCAAGTCCAGCCCAGACACTCTTGGTCCCTTGCAGGGACCCATCCATGCAGGGCTGGCAGCACTTACCATGGAGAGGATGACCAGGGCAGGGAAGAAGCCCATCACGATGTAGCAGAGAAGCTCCACAAGCTTGTACCTGGCAGGAAGACAAGCCATGCCAGCCTTAGGACATGCCTCCCCACAAGGAAACCGCACACAGCTCCGTGTTCCTGGGGAAGAGGGAACACTCTGGCCAGAACAGTGAGAAGAAAGGACGCTTTCTCTGCCCAGCACGACTTGGCTCAGATTTCACCCAGCTACATCCAACAGGTGCTGGCAGTTGTGTGACCTTGGGTACTTTCCCTCCCTGAGACTCAGTTTCCACATCTGTGAAATGCATGCTGGTGCCACAGCAGGGATTACAAACATTGGGCATAGCACACACGGGCACTTCCTATGCTCAGCCCATGGCAGACATCACTATTCGATCCCAGCATCTCTTCCCATAGGGCCCAAGCAGCCACTTCCAATCGAGCTGGGTTGCTGCAGCAACCGAAGCCTCTTTGCTGTCCCTGGACTAAATGACTTCCAGAGGTTCCTGGGCTCTGAGACTGTAGAAAGTCTGTTATTCTCTTTTGCTTCTATCATTCTGTTTCTATAATAATCCCACTGAATTATTTCCATCCCCATCACTCGGCAGAATGGGGATACAGAGAGTGTGGCTCTTTCAGGACCTCTCCCTTCATCTGCTAATAATTTAGGGAGGGCAGGTGGCATGTGACCACCCCCACCCCACCCCGGTTCAATGGGGCTGGGAACCTGTGTTTTTTATTGTTTGTTTGTTTTTGAGACAGAGTGTCCCTCTGTCGCCCAGGCTGGAGTGCAGTGGCGCAATCTTGGCTCACTGCAACCTCCACCTCCCGGATTCAAACCATTCTCCTGCCTCAGCCTCCTGGTTAGCTGGGATTACAGGCGCCCATCACCATGCCCGGCTAATTTTCACATTTTTAATAGAGACAGGGTTTCATCATGTTGGCCAGGCTGGTCTCAAACTCCTGACCTCAAGTGATCCTCCTCCTTCGCAGATCACTCGGCCACCCAAAGTGCTGGGATTACAGACGTGAGCCACCACGCCTGGCCACCTATGATGTCTTTTTGATAACTTCAAGTTGACCCTAGGGGCTGCAAGACCTGGTGGCCACCCATGAGCCTGAATGGCATGACAGCCAGCGCTGTGCTCTCACGACTATGGCATCATCCTGGGCTCTCAACTGCCCAGGAGTACTGCCCAGGAGGTTGGAGCATCTAAGGGAATCCCGCCTCCCTGCAGTCCCCAGGCCCGGCTTACCGCTCATGGAAGAAGAAGACATAGATGGTGCCCACGGAAGCCATAATCCAGACCAGCCAGCGCATGTGGGAGGCCCAGGGGCCCAGCTCCCGAAGGTTCAGCCTGGGAGAGAGAGAGCCAAGGCCATGGCCCTGAGGAGGGCCCACCAAGACCCCAGCCCTTGAGGACTGGCCTGCCACAGGAAATGGACCCCAAGGAAGTCCTGTCACCCGTCGCTCCACGGCTGGGACATGGGCGCTCACAGGAAGACAGGTGAACAGGCAGAAAGTGCGCTAGATAACTTGAAGCAGCAAGCAATGATTAGAGGAGAATTAGTAAAATTGATAATATCTAGAAGAAAAGGTAAGCAGCACCTCAAACTGGCAGGATGATGAACAGGTAAAGCCTGTTTGGCGGGAATTGTGCATTCTCTGTCACTGCAGTTCCAGCAGCTAACCAAAGCAACGCTGTTTTGTTTTGTTTTGTTTTGTTTCGCTTATTTTTTTGAGATGTAGTCTCTATCTGTGCCCCAGGCTAAAGTATAGTGGCACAATCCCGGCTCACTGCCACCTCCACCACCTGGGTTCAAGCGATTCTCCTGCCTCAGCTTCCCGAGTAGCTGGGATTACAGGCACCCACCGCCACGTCCGGCTAATTTTGTATTTTTAGTAAAGATGGGGTTTCTCCATGTTGGCCAGGCTGGTCGCGAACGCCTGACCTCAGGTGATCCACCCACCTTGGCCTCCCAAATGCTGAGATTACAGGCCTAAGCCTCCGCGCCTGGCCTCCAATCCTTTGTTAATAATTATTTTAAGAGACAGGGTCTTGCTACTTGAGAAGCTGAGGCGGGAGGATTGCTTAAGCCTGGGAGGTCGAAGCTGCAGTGAGCCATGATCACAACACTGCACTCCAGCCTGGACAACAGAGTGAGACCCTGTCTCAAAAAAAATTTTAAATAATAATAATTTGAA